CGGGATCCTAGTTCCCCGACCAGGGATCGAACCTGCGCCCCCTGCCTTGGCAGCACAGAGTCCTAACCGCTGGACCGCCAGGGAGGTCCTTGGGCATTCGTTCCTCACCCATCCTCTCATCACTTTCAGGAACATCCCTGGGTCTGACTCTCTCATCCTCCTGACAAGGAAATGCATTTTATCTTTGACTCCAGTAACCATGCTCTCCACACTGCGCCATGCCAGCGGCAGGGCGGCATCTTATGACCCTTGTCCATGGTCACTGTCCTCTAGCCAGAGACCACCAGGAACACACCTGTAGTTGAGTAAGTTGGGTTTATTGCTTTTGGTATAGTGATGGAGCCCTCGCACCATGGGGAGCCTCACAGCAGCTCAGTACAAGAAGGTGATAGAAGAAAGGACATCCCAGACTTGGGTTTGTGTTTGGTGACTTTGGGGAGGTTTTCAAGTAGCAGGGCTTTGCTCTAGATCAGGAAACTGGGCAACTCTGTGACGATATCTTAAATCTTATCTATAGGGAGAGGAGCAAAGCCAAAGTTGTCACTGGGAAAGAAGCAGCAGTCGCTACTCACTCGCTGGGCTTTCTGGTATTCTCTGCCGTGACCAATGTTTATGCTTTGTCTGTGTTCAGATATGACTTCCGAGTGGCCGTGTCTTTGTGTTGTCCCACCACAGTCACAGAGTGGCCTTATCTGATGTTGATTTTTCGCAGCATCAGTGACATTTAACAGGAGAACACAAGGCCCAGCCTGAGTGCCAGGCCGGCTCCCAGGTGTTAGGGGCTGCTTCTCCCTTGCTCCGTCTTCCCTGCTCTGAACTGCCCCACTTCAGAGATCAGCCTCCTCGATCAAAGCCTCCACCTGCTTCCTCCTCGACCGCCTGCCTGCTCCCTTCACTCCTGTGAAGGCTTGTCCTCGGCCCCTCCGTGTTGCCCGCTTATCAGCTCCTCTCTTGGAGCACTCCTTTCCCTAACCAGACAGACGCCCTGTGGAGAAGGGCTGTTTTGCGTGTGTGCTGACGGCAGCCCACAACACCTCTCCTCCCTCCCTCCTGGTGTCTCCTATGCCGATCTCTTCCCCTGGTGGGCAGAGGGGGCGTCATTCGCTGTTCTCCTCTCAGGTTTCTCTTCTTTTAATTTAAAAATTGTTTTTTTTAATTTATGTTTTTAATTTAAAAATTTAAAAAAATTGTTTTGGCCGCACTGCGCAGCATGTGGGGATCCCAGTTCCCCGACCAGGGATCTAACCCGTGGGCCACACCGCACCACCCTCCCACCTCCCCACGGTGGCAGTGCGGAGTCCCAACCACCAGACCAGACCGCCAGGGAAGTCCCCCCCACCCGCTCCACTCAGATTTCTGAGCACTTTGGCAGGAAGGCCTAAAACCATAAACATATGTTTTTCTACCCTCAGCAGCACAAAGCTGCCTGGCAATTCCTCTTTTCATAACTTGTTTATTCCCTGTTGCAACCCCTAAAGCCATTTTTCCAACAGTTTTCAGGCCGCCAAGGAACCTCCCCTTCCAGAAGATGGTCGGAACCCCCACTCTACGGAGATGATAGAAGGCATCTCATTTTGTCTACCTCAGCTACCTTATTTTCCCTGCTCTAATTTTTTTCTAAATTTCCACCCATCTTCTTTCCCGTGATCCTCTCTGGAAGGAGGAAGGCTCGATCCTGTTGTAGCCTAAACCCTCCACGCACGTTCCTGATCCCTCGCCCCTTCTCCATAGCCCCTCACCTTGCCGACTTCCCCAGCCAGGCAGCCTCTTCAGCCTGACTCCTTCCTTTCGAGATGAAATTCCAAGAAGGCGGTCTTGCCTGTTTGTGCACTTCCTTCACATGCGCTTACACCTCAACACTCGCCTTCCCATTGTGGTATCCTCAGCACTTCCTCCTAGGCTCTTCATCTTGGTGAATTGGACAGCGTCAGACAGCCTTTGCCCTTGACTCTCCCGAGTCAGTGCCCTCCACCTTCTCCTGGCTTGTGTTGGTTTCACTGCTTAGTCATCTCTTTGGTAGGTTTCCTCAGGACTCTGATCCCCTCCCTCTTCCTCCTTCTTTCTATGTTTTCTCTTCCTAGTTCCCTTTCTGTCCTGCTTCCCTTCAACAATCTCATCCACTCCCAAACTTGAGTAGTTCACAGATTTATCTCTGTCCTTGGCCTTTGTCCAGAGCCCTAGCTCTTTATTTCTAGCTGCTTGCTAAACATCTCTAGCATGACGTGTTATCAGTACTGAAACATCAGTTGTCTGAAACCAGGTTCATCATTCTCAGCAGAACCAGTTTTTTTTGTCCCCTTTAATGGCTTTTCCATTCTCTTTCACCCACAGATCTGGGATTTGATCTGTCATCTTTGACAGTCAAATCGCATGGGTTCTCTACCTTTGCTTTCTCTCTTGCATGTGGCCTCATCTTGGGGGAGCTCACCACGTTAGACTTACGCTGTTATGGAGCTCTCACCTTGTCATTTAAGGGCAGGGCATCGGTCTTACTCACCACTGCTTGCCCCTTAGTGTCTGCCACAGTGCCTTACCCAAAGCAGACCCTCACTGTTTGTTGAGTGGTTGTCTATAAATTAAGCATTTTAATGCTTTACTTGCATTTCATGAACTGTTTGTCATTGAACATATTTCTTGTCATTAGTTCTTTAAATACTTTTATTCTTAACCAAGCAAGCACCAGAGTAAAGTTTCATACCCAGAACTTCAACTCTGGTACTTATGCTGTTTTTCAGGAAGAGCAGTTAGGTAAGGGTACATAGGTTGGTCAGGAGGTGTTAATTTCACCTTCCTTCTTGAGAGCCGGGTATAATACATACGGTTATTACGTTTTCACGGCAATTTTAGATAACTTCCATCTCCTTTTATACATTGATTTTTCTGCTCTTTTGCTTCTTTATTTTTTAACAGGTTTTCAAAATGGAAAATATCACTGTGACATAAGATGCTATTGATAGTACATCAGTATGGTTCAGCTATTCCCCTGCCCAGCAGAGTGTAGCTGCTCTGTGCACAGCCCTGTAATACATATTAGTTACACAGACATTAGAGAAGCCCTTCCCATCCATATGTATGTGCATGGCCCGCGGAAGTTAATAATGCCGTATATCACATGCACGTAGAATGTAAAACGTACTTCAGAATGACAGCAGGCTCATATAAAATGAATATTGGCTTATGACGAGAGGAAAGCTAGGGAAAGATTTTTGTCCTTTCAAACCTGCTCTTTACTGAATTATTTGTTTCTGTGTCTCAGTATCCCAGACTCACATTCTGCCCCCCCCCTTTTTTTTTTTTGTCAATATTATGCTCCTCTCACCAGCCACCTTGCTTCACTTCAGCCACATGGATAACAAAAGAACCCCTTTGGAGAAATGAAAGATGGCAATTATACATTGGTATTCATGTTACAGGAGCCACACTGCCATCCTCAGGGAGTTTCACAATGAATATCCAGTATTAATTGCCACAGTAACTGTGTGTCTGACCTTGCTGAAGTGTAATACATCAGTTTTACATAGTAAAATTATTTGCCACTAAGAGATTTAGACAGGATGATCTTAAAATTATATTGCTGTTTAGAATGACTAGTAATTTTTGTTTTTAAGAAGATCTTGGGGGACTCAAATGACTAGGTCACTACATTTTCTTAGGAATCAGCACACCGGGAGTTGAAATCATCATTTTCCCACTGATTTGGTTGGCAATTACGACAAGGATAGTGCCTTCCTATTCTTACGGAAGGTGAATAAATACATCGGCATCTCTGATAAATCTATGGAACTGATAATAAGGCACGAGGACATAGTACTTTTTATCCAACGGGGGGGCGGGAAAATGTTCTTTTTGTGTGTTTGTACCTAATTGAGGTAGGGTTTTCTGCCAGGAGCAGAAACACAGAAGCATGCTAGGAACCCTAGGACGTGTTTCCCTTTTTAAAGAGGCAACATAATTTTTAAGGTGAAGCCTCTTTGCTATCAACTTTTCTTGCTTCAATCTTTTGCTCAGATCCTCAGAAATACAGAAGGTAAATATTTTTACATGGGTTTCTCCCTACCCCCTCCGCCCCTACCTGCCTCTGGTTGGACGCCACCCATCAGGAGAATTTCACACTCCACACTCTGGGAGTGTTTGTCACTTGGGTGTCACTTGGGTCGGCTCTACACTGCTGGGTCAGCAGTGAGCCCGACTCTGACAGAGCCACGTCAGCGGGCCGTGTTAGGCTCTGGGCTGTGGAAGCTGTGTGTGCAGAAATGAACGATTGTTCAGCCTTCTCTCCGTGTTAAAAGGGACCGCGGTGAAGAAAGTCAGCGCATTCACCCGTGACATCCGAATTTCAGTCTAGATGAGATTCTAACTAGAGATCCGTTTTTGCTTGTATTCTGGCAAACCAAGTACATGATAAATATGAAGGCCACCTCAAGTTTGGGAGTAAAACATGAACTGAATGATAGAATGAGTAGTTTTTTTCCCACCTTAAAATAAGGCTGTGATGTAAATGAATATGATACGTATCTGCTACATCTACTTAATATGGCTTGCTCATTGTTTTAGTGTTTAAATGATGTTTTATATGATTTTCTAATTTTAATATAGTGGCAGTTTAAGAAGTATTAACCAGGTAAAAGAGAGTATAGCACACATGCAATTAGTATATTGTGTTTTTGAGACTTTGAACTTTGGATTTCTTAATTCACATCACAGGTAGCTTTAAAAATGAACTCTGAATCCCATCCCCACTTTATTCTTTTTTTCCAGTTTCCTTTAAAGTATTTATGTCTTTCTAATGCTTTATGTATCCATACAACTTGAGCCTGGACCCTGTACCATTAGAGGGAGATTCTTGACCAGATTCCTAATTTGTTCTGAATCTGTAAAGATATTAGGTGGGAAAGCAACTTGAGAAAGTGCAGCTTTAGTTAGCTCTTTTTTTTTTTTGCCTTTTAAATTTTCTCTCTGTTTTTCCTTCTTCCATCCATCACTCCCATCGGCAATGAAAGCAGGATGATGAAGTGACAACCGTTCAGGTTAAAGAGCAAGACCGGGACGTCCTGGTGCTGAAGAAAGTGCAGAGCTGCGGCCCAGCCCCCCAAGCCGGGAGCTCAGAGAGTGATTGGAGGTCAGAGTTTCCACCCAGCCCCTTGCTCCTGTTTCCTTTTCCCTGCCTTCCTCCCCTTCTCCCGCTCCATCTCACTCGCTCTCTCTGCCTCCTCTATCCCCCCCTCCCTCCCTCCCTCCCTTTTTTCTCCGCCTCTCGAGCCCAGCGTGCTAGCTGACTGCAGAGCTCTTAGCAGCCAGATGGACTGAGTTCCCAGTGAAAGGACAGAGATGGCAAGATCTTTGAGCCTTTAGGGGATGCCTTTGTTAGTAGCCGTGCACAATGGGCAGCTCCCGGCTGAGAGTCTTTGACCCTCATTTAGAGAGGAAGGATTCTGCCGCGCTTTCAGACCGAGAGCTGCCCTTGCCCACCTTCGATGTGCCTTCTTTCAAATACATTGACGAGGAGGACGAGGACGAAGAATGGAGCAGCCGTTCACAGTCGTCCACTGAGGATGACTCTGTGGACTCTCTGCTCTCCGACAGATACGTGGTCGTGTCCGGGACCCCGGAGAAGATCTTGGAGCACCTTTTGAATGACTTGCACCTGGAAGAAGTCCAGGACAAAGAAACAGGTAAGGCAGGGGGGTGTCTCCTGCTTCCAGACTCACAGCTGCGGCTGCCCTTGTCAGTTTCCAGAGGGGCAAAGCCTCCGTCTGTACTGTAGCTGAAACCAGAGTGGGCTGACCCAGCATATGCTTCTTGGGCCTCCCCCTTAGCCTCCTGCTGTTTTGTTTAAATCCAGTAAATGGACGCACGTAGATCCAAGCAGCCGCCTGGGAAGTAGCTGTACAAAGAAAATGATACGAAGGCAGATGTTCTTGTTTCGCTGGCCGTTTTTACCACATCTCACCTAAAGGCAGTTGGCGAGAGGCCAGCATTTAATAGCCAGTGTCCAGCGGGAAGGAATATGAGGGATGGGGTTACCAGCTATAGCGTGCACCTGGCTTGTGGGAAGCACTGAGCTGGGGGGAGTAGCCTCCCTGCCGAAAAGTCAACAATTAATGCAACTACTCAGCAGCTATTAGCTTAGCAGCAACTTCTGCCTTTTTCCATGTGGTTTACAAACTGCTCAGAGCAAGCCCTGCTGTGCAGGATATGATACTCATAGCGTCTCGGACCAGAAACTCTAATTCACTGAAGTCTTATCGATCAGGCTTCTTGTCCTTTCTATTTAATCTGGGAGCAAAATACCCACTTAGCTTTTTCACCCTTGCACTTCTGGAAACACTACCATTGCATGACCTACCCAAACTTCCTTTATCACACAAGGGCAGCGCTTGCTTCTCTTAACCAAAATTTATAATTTGTTCCAGCCTGGAGCAGTTATTCCAATGAATAGGCCTCTGGCTGTAGCCTGAGTTCTGCAACTTGATGCCCTGACTAAAATGCGCTTTTTGCTGCCACCGTAGCACCTGTGATGCCGCAGTTTGCAGTGTATCAACTGCGTCAATAAAAGGCATTTTTGGTTTTATTAGTACAAGTAACTCCTTAGGTTTTTCCCATGCAGGAAGGGTTGTGAAATGACAACTTAGGTGGGAACAAGAGTTTCCTTGGGTCCCAGTAGTTTTGTCTGAACTTAATTGATGTCTGGCTCTATACTGCATTATAAAGGACATTAAGAGAAACAAAGATGTGTGAAATATGTAATAGTGTTTTTATAAAAAAGCCAAAAATGACTCAATCACGCATCCTACATTAATGTTACTGTTTGATCTTGAAATTCAAATAAAAACTTTATTTTGCATATCTGTGTTTGGGGAAAAATAGGAATAGTTGTCATTTATACACAAACAAGCTAAAAGAGAAACGTATTGTTGTGGCATTTGCATGTCTATCGATTAATATTTTGTGCGTTTGAGCACTATTTCCGTGTTCTCCTTCATCAGAGATAGTCATCATGGAACTGGCCATAATTTTCTGCGTACTGGTTAGCAGACTGCTTTACACAGGTGGTTTGGACTAGATTACAGGCACGTTATCTGCCACGAAGAGGACACCTTTGAACGTGCGTAGCAGTTTGGGGGACTGAATGCGTTCTTTTTAATAGCACTGCAGTTCTATAACACAGGACTTTGTGTCTAAGTCATATTAATAAGAGTAGAAATTACTGAAGCCAGTACTAGGCCTACTTGATTTCTTTTTTCTTTCGTTCTCACTGTCATTAGTTTTTTGTGAAAGGTGGCCTAGGTACCCACTGACAAGTTAACCCTGGGCATGAGAAATCACCCTAATTCCTGTTACTAATGCCAGGAGTGGCTTCCTGCTGGGAAACAGTGTTGTACCTGGTGTCTAGTGACTGGTATTCCCGGTTTCTTCTCGATTATACCAACACTGGGATCAGATGTGTCCCTCTTGCCAGGTGCCGAGCAAAGCTAAAAGGACCACGACTCGGTGTGGCCAAAGCCGGGCAGGTAGAGCCCCGCAGGGGTCAGTCTCTCCTCATTCCTCCTCATTTCCTTAGCGTTTGCAGAGGACACATGTAAAACTTCAGATGTTTGCAGGGACACCTGAGGGGGAAAACAGTAACAACTCTTCCTCTGATCAAAGGAGAGTTTTATGAAAATGAAAAAGTCAACTTTGGAGAGAGATTGTCGTGTAATATGATAGGGACACCTAAGTGGAAGTCACATGCAGTCCTTCCACACTTCACGAACAGCGCTTGGAGAAAATACAACAGAAGAGCCGCTGGGTGGCTTTTGTGGGTAACATTTTAAAACATATAAATATAAAATCAATTTCATTTACAAATTGAAGAAAAGTGGTTATGAGTTCGTTCTAGTTTGAATACTAAATGAGTCACGTATTTAGAGTAGTTGGGGCCCCTTGTCACTGACAGTGGTGAATGTTAGTTCTTTATCCTGGTCAGGCTGGCAACCCTCACTATAAAAGGTCTACGTGTGCAGGAGTCTGAGTCGCGTAAACATATGGAAGACAGATGGAGGAAAACGAGAAGGGGCTGCAATAAACGTATACAGCAGCGTTTTTATGTTCTTGAGCGCCCCTTTTAGGGAGATGGAGCCATATGGAGCCGGGTGGAGCCATATGGTGGTTATCCACATGGCCCCAACGGCAATGAGGAAGAAAGCATTCATGGGAAGAAATAAATGGTCCTGGAGGCTGGGATGAGCCTGTTCTGGATTCTTACATTCCTGTACCCACCAGAGGCTGGGGAAGTTAACCAAGCAAGAGATGCAAGTTATTTCCCATCTCTTCCCCACAGAAGTCACTTCATTGTGAAAATGTAGGTGCAAGGCCCAATAGGCTAAGAGACCTATACTCACAAAGGACAGGTTCAGGTGATTAGTAATTGCTGTGTACATGCAAGTGGAAAAGAAGTTTACTTAATTGAATGGAATAGAAATAAGAGATACTGTATTTTTGTTATTACCCAAATCTAGAATAGAATGGAATAGCAAACAACAATTCATATAGTATTCTATCACCGTATCAAACTGAGTTTCAAAAGCAAAAAACATTATTAGAGATGCTTACAAGCAACCTACTAATGATTTTCGTAAATGACTTGATCCACACAACACTTACCATGCTTATTTTCATAATCCCCTATGTGCCTACCTTTCCTCCCTGGTACTACCAGGCACAAACAGTCATCCTGGGAATATCTGGAATGAGTGGATGGATGGATGGATGAACGGATGAATGAATGAATGAATAATTCTTCATTGTTTAAAATAGAAAAACTGTTTGAGTCTGGAAACTGGATACCTATCTGTGAACGTTGAAGGACTGAAGCTGTTTTCAAAGATTACCTTTTCTTTCGAGGTTCAGGGTCTGACTTGAAGCGTTTGGAATGTTAGGGAAAAATCAAGCAGCTCTATCTTTCATCTTCCCAGAAATAGGGCAGACGTCACTGGGCATTCCCCGCCCAGGAGAATTACAAGGAAGGCAAGAAGCAAGAAGATGTGTTGTGAATAGAGGAGCTGGAGGGGTAGAGGAGCAGGTCCCCACCACCAGCCCCGTCTCTGGAAAGGATCAAATGTCTTTTGTCTAGAGATGCTTCTGTTAGGAATAACGATTTCTGTCCCGGGGGGTGGCCGGGGACAGCACTGTGATCAGATGGATACATAGAGAAAACCCTTCTTACTGACTTTTCTTTCTGCGCCTGCATTATGATGAGCCTACCTTAGAGGAAACACAAGAGGAAATAACATTATTTGCTCCCCTTTTTTTCCCCATGTCCTGGGTTTTTATTCATCTTTTTGAAGCAAATGTGCTTATGATTACAGGTTTTCAAGAAAAAACAAGCAGGGGATAAGGTAGTGGGAACAGGTAAAGCCTATTAGCCGATTCTTACTAGGCTTGGCCTGCTTTCTTCCAGGCATGGCTGTTTTTACTTGATGAGGTTATCGTTCAGTATACTGTGTACTCAGTGTGGAAATGCCTGCTCGTCGTGCTTTGACCACGGAAGGCGTGGATGCCTCTGTGTGGGTGGTGTACTTTCAACAGCACCTAGTAGGCTGATTACATCATGGAGAAAGTGAGTCCCTTACCTTTGTAACGAGGCAACCACCTCCGTGAAAGTACCTGGTTTATATCATAGGAGTGTCTCACTTAATAGGGTCCCAAAGCTATTCTCCATTGCCAGCTTAACGGCTTTTTTTGGAGCATTGCACTGATGGAACCTTGAGTGAAGCTAGGGCAGGCAAGCCATTTTTCATTTTCTTTTATCTTCTTTCCCGTTCCAGCACCAGGCGTATCCTAAATACGTCATACATATTTCTTGTGAAGGAAAATTAAGAATGCCTTTTTCCTGATCATTGGAAATACGGAAGACAGTTTAGGTGAACTTCTTCCTTAATTTCCTTACCTTTTAGGATTTCTGGAAAGATGTTTGGTGCCTCTCTTCTAGGCTTTCTTTTGCAGGTGGCAAGACCTTTATAACGCTGTGGCTGCATGGCTTTTGCAGGACTAAAACTTTTGGTGGGTAGACATGGAAGTTTTTAGATGGTGGTAAGCCTCTCCATGATTTTGTGCAATTAACGTGCATGTAAAATTACCTTGGATCTATCTTTTTATTTTTGTGGTATCATGTAACACATAATAGACCAGTGGATCTTATCTGTGGCTGTATCGTTAGCAGCACATGGGGCATTTTTCAAAATATCAATGTCTGGGTCCCACCCCCGAGATCCTGGTTCAGTTGACCCGAGTTGGGGCCTAAGAGTTATGGGCTTTGAAGGCTCCCCAGATGAAGCTATATGTAGCCAGGTGTGAGAGCCACAGAACTAGGACAGTGACTTTGTCTCTCCACTTTTTTCAGAGACATATTCAAAGTGTCTAATAGTTATCAATTTGCCCCTGAGAACTACGGGCGTCATTTCTCCTTTCCTCCACCTCCCCTCCACACTCCCTCTCCTGGTCTCTGTGTCCAGCCTCGTATCCACTGGTCCCTGCCCTAGAGCCTCTGCAGCCTGAGTTCAAAATTCACAAACATGCATTGCTGGTCCATCCACTGAAATGGTTTTGAAAAAGGGAAACAATCAGAGCGGACAGAGGTACTGGCCACACAGCTGTTAGCTCTCAGTTCTTGGAATGAGGAGGTGACGGTATA